ACTTACCCAAAGTCACCCAATAGTGGAGGGGCAATTTAAAACTAAAGATGTTTATTTTAGATCCTGACACATTAACTCCTATGTGAGACTGTTCCTCAGAATTAAAAAAGGATGTGCATCAATTTGACATAAAGTTAAAGAATGATGAAGAAAAGTTTCCAATTAGGGAACAATGACTTTCTTACCTTCAGGCTTTGTGACAAAAGGTTCAGAGAGCATTACTCTGAAGTGCTGAGACAGACAAAGAGTCACCACTCCTCTCACTGTACAAATGGACAGCTCCAGATTAGAAGAGCCATCCTCAGGAACTACAGGGAACTTTCCATTTACTACAGATATCTAGCTCCTTGTTTTCATTTATGAATGTTTTTCACTTATTTATATACTGATATAAATGTTCATTCTGTTATAAAGTCTGTAAATCATAAACAATGAAGTTTTTCAGTTATACCAGTCCTGGTTTTTCCCCCTCAAATTTTAAAAAATTAACAATAAAAAAATGTTTCCCCACAGTTGAGATAAACCCAAATCAGGCTTTGAGTCCTGTCACAATCAAATAACCCTGAACAAACTCCTCAAAGCTTCCTCAAAGGATACCAGCTCTGAAAGAAATTTACGTTTCCAATCCCATTCTAGAGCTTAAATTTTTAATTTCTTGCCCAAATAATGCTACATCACTGCATTGATAAGTGAAATACCATTCACTCCAAATTTGCTTCAGGAAAACAATGTTATAAGTGACCACAGGGCAATACACTGACAAAGGAATTAACAGACTGTCACATTTATGGTGGACACACAATGCCCTCTGCTGGACAAGCTGAGGATACTTCAACCAAGCTAAAGTATCAACACACCAATAAACCCAGGCAAAAAAATTTCTGGGAAATCTGTAATTGAGTCTCATATTTTGCCTTTTTGCACATTATTGTTGTATACATTTTGAAATTTTTTCTATGCAGTGAAACATTTTCCTCCACACACTTCTAAAGTCATCAATCTGACCCTCTTGTGTCTCATCTAAATTTACAGGTGGAACAGTGTGTTGGGGGCAAATCTCCAAGAGATCCCCAATAAAATGAAATCTAAGTATCTTCTTCCTCTCTGCTCCATCTCTCATGCCAAGGAACTGGGCACAGAAGAATCAGTGGAACTCTGATTACAATTCCAAACCACTTTCATTTGAAAGCAAAGTCATGGATACTACACCTGCTCAAGCTGGCAGATAAGAAAACAAAAGGTATTTTATTCTGAAGAATGGGAGCAATGTTACTTATAATAAAAACTGCACCATCAACACTGAGACTGGAGAGTTACATAAGAGAATCTAAAGTTTTAAAGTTTTAATACATCACAGTCTGTGCCTAAGACATAGTGGATCCAAAATACACAATGGAGGAGCTTCATGATACTTGAGGCATTTTTTAACTACAAGTTCTAAGGTGTATTTCCTGCAATGAACCACATTCAAAATTCATGTATATAATTTAATATGTAATACTTGTCTAAATTATACAAAGTCTAATTATATCACATATGTAAAAACCACTTTGAAATATAAACTGTCAGTAAAAAATGACTATAAACACAAAACATTTTAAAATAAATTATTACAAATTTTTAGAGGTTGAGGAATACATCATACTTGCATTTGTCCTGATATAATTGGTATTTCCTTATATAATCTAATTTCATTAAAACTAAACTTGAAAATTAAAGGCATTAATCCTAGCAAGTAAGGCTTAAAATGCTAACTGTATGATATCAATAATGAAATAAAGACCAGTTAAGAAAAAATAACCAAAAGAAATGCCGTTTCAAAAGAAAGAGAACATGTCTCTCATCTAGCACATTGTAAGTTTTTGATTTTTAAAGTCATATTTAGAGCACCCTCTAGTGGAAAACTGGTGACAAGATGCTTAAAACCTGCTTCTGAAATTTTATATTCTATTTCCATTAAAACAAATTAATTGTGAACTGGACCACAGAAGTGTATGAAATAGACTCTGATTTCCAAATCTCATTTTTAAAAATCCCCAACAACACACACACACACACACACACACACACACACACACACACAGAGCAGTTCTCAAAGTCCAAAAGAAAAAGGTCTATTATTTATCAATTTCCAAAAGAAGAGACAAGGTATGTGACAAGATACGTGAAAATAACATTATAGATGTAATGGCACTCTATACATTAAATAATTGCATTGTAGTTATAAAATAATTTCAATACAAAAACCAACAGAATCACTTTGGTACTTTGATTCTTGTGGTTAAAAGATTCAATTAAAATATCAGAGCATTAAGGAACAACACAGGAAAACTTTTTCCAAATTAAAATTCTCTCCAAATACACCATAACATTTTCTAAATATCCTCTGCTACACTGGCAAATTTGGCGAGAACCTCAACAACATTCTGTGGTCTTAGTTACTACAGGGACAGCCTGGCCTTGACACAGACATGAATCCCACATGCAAATTCTGTCACAGATAATTTTTCACACTAATATATGAAATTCTAGATTATGTGAATTAATAATTATATATTAATAATTAGACTACATTTGATAAATTACATTTGATGTGTTAAATTCTTGGTATCACAATCTGGAGGAATACTAACAAAACAGAAAATGTTCTTACCTGAGAGACCATTTTAAGAGTAATTTAAAATCTATTTTCTGTGGAAGACTGAAGAAACTTGAATTATTTAGCCCAGGGAAGGAAAGACTACACAGAAGAGAAGAATTATTTACTCATTCATTAATTCAACAGTGATCTATCAATCACTTTAGCTAGGTGTTGTTCAAGGTTCTGGAGGAATGGTAGCAAACTGGATGGACAAGGTCCCTGCTCTCATGGAACCTGCATCCTGAATGGGAGAAGATGATGAGAAGATCAACAAGCTCCATGAGGACCTAGATTTGTGTCTGTTCTGTTCATTTTGGTATCCCCAGAACCCAGAACAATACCGGACACATAGCAGTTGCTCAATAAATCTTTATCGTACAAAAAATGATAAATTTGGCTGGTGGTAAGTGCTTTAAAGAAAACGAAACAATAATAGAGAGTAATGGAGAAGGGTGGTGTGGCAAGTACATTTCAGAAGCCATTTCAGATCAGAGAGTTAGAAAAGGCTATTCTAAGGAGATGCCACTCAAACTTAGACTCAATAACCAAAGTCAGATTTGCAAAGATCTGAGAGAAGAGCTTTCCAGAGAGAAAAACAAGGGCATTAGTCTGAGGCAGGAGTATTGACATTACACAATCAAATTGGTCAGTGTGGGCAAGCCACAAGCACCACAGTAAAGAGTTCAGATTTTATTCAAATAGTTTGGGCAAAAGATGGTAGTGGCTTCAAATGGAGTCAAAGGAGTGAAATGAAGAGAGTGGATAACTTCATGATCCATTTTGGAGGTGAAGAGTAGACAATATTTGCTAATAGGTTTGATATGTGAAATGAGGCCAAGAGTGGAATTAAAAATGACTCTTAGGGGCGCCTGGGTGGCGCAGTCGGTTAAGCGTCCGACTTCAACCAGGTCACGATCTCACGGTCCGTGAGTTCGAGCCCCGCGTCGGGCTCTGGGCTGATGGCTCAGAGCCTGGAGCCTGTTTCCGATTCTGTGTCTCCCTCTCTCTCTGCCCCTCGCCCGTTCATGCTCTGTCTCTCTCTGTCCCAAAAATAAATAAACGTTGAAAAAAAAAAAAAAACTTTAAAAAAAAAAAAAATGACTCTTAAGCCTGGGGCTTAAACAACTGGGTGGATGATGTTGCAATTTACTGAGATGGGAAAAAATTAGGTGAGGAGCAGGTATTATTAAGCAGGTAGTGGAGGAAGGGAACAACTTTTACAACTGACCATATAATTTGGATGTCAAGTAAGTGGTTGGATATTTCAGTCTGAAGCTTAATGAAATGGACTAAAGTACAGTGCTGTAAGTTTGAAAGTTGTTTGCTTCAAGATAGTGTTAAAGCCAAGGGGCTAAATAATTATCACGAAGAGGGGGATGAGAATGATTATTCCATGGAACTCCAAGGGGAAAAGCAAAAAATTAAAGACAGGGGTTAATGTGAGCTCATTCTAACACTAACTAGAGCTGTAAGTAAGGAAGTAAGTAACACTGTAAGTAAGCAGTAAGTAACACTAACTCAACTGCTTGCACACATTATTATGGGCTTTCCCCCAAAGGTGGCATTTTCAGAAGGAACAGCGAGAAGACCACCCATAGAATTACTACTGAAGTGATTCTTTGTAAGGAATGGGAGTTTTGGGGGCACCTAGGTGGCTTAGTCAGTTGAGTGTCCAGCTCTTGATTTCAGCTCAGGTCATGACCCCGGGGTCATGAGATTAAGCCCATGCTGAGCGTGGAATCTGCTTGGGATTCATTCTCTCTCTCTTTCTCTCTCCACACACACACACACACACACACACACACACACACACACACACACACCCCTCTTCCCCTAGCTTGTGCTCTCAAAATAAATAAATAAATAAAAATTAAAAAAAATAAAAAAGAATGGGAGTTTCTTTCAAAGGTCCCACATGAAGGGACTTTTAAGACTATATGATTTTTCAGGGGTGCCTGGGTGGGTCAGTCAGGTAAGCATCCAACTTTGGCTCAGGTCATGATCTCAACAGTTCGTGGGTTTAAGCCCCGCATCAGGCTCTCTGCTTTCTGCACAGAGCCTGCTTTGCATCCTCTGTCTCCCTCTCTCTCTCTGCCCCTCCTCCACTTGTGGACTCTCTCTCCTCCCTCTGTCTCTCTCTGCCCCTCCTGTGCTCATGAGCTCTGTCTCTCTCTCTCTCTTAAAAATAAACATTTAAAAAAAAAGACTATTTGACTTTTCTTCACATATGCAATGTGCCTACCACATTTTGCAACTTATTTTGTTTTATGCAACTTATTTTCTTTTACTAAGCAGATTCCACAGTAAAAATCACCAGCATATAAAATATATACATCTACTGGTGGCCATGATTTGATACCTGTTTTTGTTAGCAAAAGGTTATCCAGGTGTCTGTCTCCAACTCCAAGTATGTATGTAATCACGCAATATCCAGCTGCAAATAACAGTTAAAAAATTGTGAAAACACATGCAAACCAGGTCAAACATACAAATGAGTATAAAAGCAGTCTGTGTTACTTTCATTTCAATTTAATTACTATTTTTTCATTTCTCACCCAAATTCTCAATTGTGTAATTTTCTTTGACTCTATGAAGAGTTTATCAGTTGAAACTCAATATAAATTGCTATTTGCATGAGAAATAATATCTTGTAGAATTTTGTCAAATTATAAAAGTCATTTCTATCAAAAGTTAATTCAGGCTTCAGGAACCTTAATTATAATATGATTCTCCCATTTCTCATTTCAAATTGGACACATGTTACAGATGACAGCAGAAAAAAGAAGTGTCTACAGAAATACACATAATGAAGTCAAGCATCCCACAACCCTATCATCTATAAGATAACAAAAGTAAATGTAGGTTTAAAAGAAAAATCTTTGGAGAAACAATCGTGAAGTGCCAGCAGATAGAAAAACAATTAAATTCACTTGAGTGGTAAAGGCGCTTAAGAAGTTAACAGCACAATCTTCTAAAGTATTAAGAAAAATTACATGAGCAGGGCTAGGGGCAGAGTCACTGGCTCTATCTTTATTCTTTTGCCTTTCTCTTCTAAAAAGTCTGGAAACCAGCCATGTGTTGAAAATGCTCAAATAAAATTAAGCAAATATCACCTTTTTGAAGATTATTTTTTCCATTCTATTTCTCTTATTATTAATGTAACAAGAAACATAACTTATAAACATACACATGGCTATATCAGTATTTACAAAAGCATGTTTATTTCAGTTAATATGTAGGAAAAAGACTGGACCACCTGTTAATGACCAAATTAATTTCACTGGATTAATCATTAATTATTAATTAATTAATCATAGTTACAACTTACTGAAAGCTAGTCCCTTAGGTAGGCACATTACATTCATCATCTCTAGCCCTTTAATGATGCCAGTTAAGTATTGTAACTATCCTTCTAATGAAAATATCTCAGGCTCCAGAAGTTAACGAGATTGTCCAAGGTCACTAGGCTGGGATTTGAACCTAACTCTCACTCTAAAGTCCTTGGCTCAAGCCACTTCTGCATTGTATAACTCCTGTTCCCCAAAGTGGCTATTTAGACAGATGCAACACTCAAGATATTTAAGTTCAAGTGTATTTGTTTAGAATAACTAACCATAGACTAATTACAGGTGAAATTATACATTTTATATATTTCAAAATGTATCCATATGTACAGAATGAATGAAAGCACACTATTACCCAAAAAATGCTTCTAATCATATTACTGGTCTACTAACAATTTTCACTAAACTGTAACAAATCAGTTATTCTCAAAATATAGCCTGCAGTGTGACAGGAACTACGAGTTTGCCTACACACTATCTAATCTGTTTCTTCCTTAAAACAAAACCAGGATCTGGGAGACAAGACCATGCCTAGGTAAAAGACTGTATTTCCCAGCCTCACCTGCACTTAGGCATGTCCAGGGAACTATAAGCAAATGTAGGTTTGTGATGAGCATGTTTAAAGATGGGGCTGGCTGAGCTGGGAAATGAGCCTTTTAGGTTTCTTCTCCTGGTTGGCTGGACTGCAAACATGATGACTGCATTTGCAATAGTCATTTGGGACCACTGGGAGAAGGCCAAGAAAATCACAAAGACTTTGGTTGGCCCTAACATCCACAAGCGCTAAAGCAACTACAATGACTGACATCTGGGCTTCTTACAAAAAAGAAAATGACTTGTGTGTGTGCATCACTATAGATTATGTTAACTTCAGCTGAATACAATTGTTGACACATTAAGTGGTCCACTGAGGGACTTGAGGGCCACTTACATAAAGGGTGAGCAAATACAGCTTGACGGCCAAAATGGGACCTCCTCTGTTTTTATATTTTATAGAGTTTACTGGAACTCAGCCGCATCCATTCACCTATTTCTTGAGCATGACACTGGCCTGGCTGAATGGCTACAACAGAGATCATGTGGCCTAAAAATCCTAAAATACTTACTATGAGGAAGGTTGTAGGAAGAAACTGATTTGACTCTTGCTAGGAAATTGCTCTTCAAAATGATGCACAGACTGGCAGCATCACTCTCCCCTAGGAGCTTCTTAAAAATGCAAACCCTTAGGGCCCACTTGAGTCCTGCTGCATCAGAATTTCTCGGGGCAGTACTAGAAAGTGATTGCTATACACACCACAGTTTGTGTACTCCCTTCTGCTTTAATGTACTAGAATCCCCTGGGAATCCTGTTAAAATGAAGATTCTAATCAAAACATCAGGGGCAAGGCCTGGGATTCTGTTAATACAAACAAGTTCCCAGATGAAGCCAATGCTGCTGGTCCAGGGATTACAGTGGTAATGCTGGAGTGGTGCTGCTCTAAAACTGCTGCAAAATATGCAATCCACAAACGACTAATGGCCCTCCACTCCGACATTAGTGAGCGCCATGCTAAAGGAAATTCATAAAGAGAACACGTAAGAACTTAGGACACCGAGCTCTCTAATACGTGAGTCACTTAGCAATCTGGCTGCCACTCAATACTTGTGAAGGATAGAAAACTCCTGATAATGTGCATCAGAACATTGTTAAAACACTGGCAATTTTCCAAAAGAACATCACTGTGTATCAATATACTTGAATTGTTGTATGGTGCAGCTTATCTTTTGGTTCATTATAAATTAGTTTTATCATTATTTACTTTGTTTCATTGTTTAGCTACCTCTACAGAGTAATGATTCACATGTGTAGCAACAGTACATTTGACCTAAAATTTTTACACAACTAGACATGCCATGAATTTTGCCTGTCTCTACTGACAAAGCAAGATGTTTTTATATACTACTTTCTATCATCACGTTTGCTTTTACAGTAATTATTACTGGATTATTTTCCAATGGAAATGGGAAATGTATGGGAAAGAGCCTTTACCCTGCCTCAGTGGGTTAAGGTCATAAATATGTTTAAGGGTCATTTTAATAGATGTTTTTGTTTTTTTTCTTTTTTTTTTCTTTTTTTTTTAAATTTTTTTTTTCAACGTTTATTTATTTTTTGGGACAGAGAGAGACAGAGCATGAACGGGGGAGGGGCAGAGAGAGAGGGAGACACAGAATCGGAAACAAGCTCCAGGCTCTGAGCCATCAGTCCAGAGCCTGACGCGGGGCTCGAACTCCCGGACCGCGAGATCGTGACCTGGCTGAAGTCGGACGCTTAATCGACTGTGCCACCCAGGCGCCCCTGTTTTTTTTCTTTTAAAGTTTATTTGTTTTGAGAGAG